CTCCACCCAGGTTCAAATCCAGAAAGGTCAACAAATCCTTTGTGACTTACACAGGAGAGGGAATGATGCTGGCAACACCACCGCAATGCTTTCTGCATCTTCAACCCCTCCCCAACATAGACACACTCTCTGAAGTGGGAGCGTTTTGTGAATTACAACACAGTGGAGGCCTGGGAAGCCCATTAAGCACAGCCCCAAACGGGTGGTAAATTATTCCCCTTGGCAGCATGATCTATTAATCACTTACTTATTTTAAAAGGGAAGGGAGCTTATTTAACCTTTTTATTTACCTTTGGCAGTCAAGATAAACACCATATTTCAGGGCAGGCTCTTATCCAGCTAACAGCTTTATACTTCTCGCGCTAGAGGCAACGAGCTGCTTTTAACCAAAGTTTTCCTTTGCGATTTGATTTTCCCTTCCTCGTGTTTGTTTGTGCAGGTTTAAAGTGATGTTGGCAAGTGTAGACACCACTATTGGAAACCTGCATAACCACATGTGGGTGCTGTGGTGCTTTCTTGTGGGGTTACTTGAGGAATCTAGAAGTGAAAGTTTAAGTTTCCAGTCCAGGGACCCAAATAAACATTAACAACTTGCTTGATTAATTGCAAGGTCTCCTCAACGGCACTTTTTGAGCGTACTGTAAAAGACCAGCACAGACAACTCAACAGCGATGCAACCTATAGTTAGTTAAAAAAAATAAAGACAAGATGTATGACATCTTTGATATTTGTTCCCTAAAGTTGGTCAAGGAGCAAAATAATCAACAGCTATGGCTTGGTCTTTTCTGTATTCTTCTAAATAAGCTTATCTGATATTAGAATATAGGAGTTGGGAGTTAAATTCCTCATTTTATCTCTTAGGGGAACAGCCAGCCTGTGTAGCCTTGGGCAAACTGTACTACCCCAAGGGCACTCCCAGAAGAAGGGAATGGTCAGCCACTTCTGTGTATTGTCTACCTAGAAAACCCTGGAAAGGGATGACGTAAGTCAGAATTGACTTGACGGCACGTCATCATGATTTATTTAAATCAAATACGTCCCTCTTTTAACTAATGTCTCTATTTCACAGACATACCCCTACACTCAGCAATCAATGAGCTGGTTGTTTCTAAACACCTCTCCTCAGACTGTTTTCAGATCTTCTACCTCCTATTTTTCAGTCTCCTCTACTTATTTGCCTGTTTATACTTTATTTATTTATTTTATTATTTTATTTATTTTATTTATATCCCGCCTATCTAGTCGATTAAGACCACTCTAGGCGGCTTACAACAATAATATGACAATATAAATAAAAACAATTTTAAAATAAGGGGAGTGCTGTCAATAAAGGACTGCCAAAGATTCCAATAAAACCAAGTCAGAGAGATTTATGAAATTGATAGGATTCCCCCTTTTAAGTCATCAATCTACGTTTATCTTAGGTATAATTTAGGTGTAATAAGGAGAAGACTCCTTGGGAAAGACCCTGATGTTGGGAAAGAGTGAAGGCAAGAGGAGAAGGGGACGACAGAGGACGAGATGGTTGGACAGGGTCATCGAAGCGACCAATATGAATTTGACCCAACTCTGGGAGGCCGTGGAAGACAGGAGGGCCTGGCGTGCTCTGGTCCATGGGGTCACAAAGAGTCGGACATGACTTAACAACTAAACAACAACAATAATTTCGGTGTATCCATGCGGGGCAGTGGAGAGAAAGATGGACTAGGATTCCTGGGCTGAAGCCCCTGCTTGGTCATGTAAACTCATTGGGGTGAAGATGGCACTGGTAAAACCACTCCTGAAACATCTCACTTGGCTTGAAAACGCTCTCAGGATTGCTGCAAAGTCATACTTGACTTGCAGCTTGAGGGAGCATCACACACGTATTCTTTCGTTAGAGCAGTGCCTCAAAACTTTGGGTCCCCCAGATGTTCTTGGACCGCTACTCCCAGAAATTGTGGCCATCGCAACTAGCGGTGAAGGCTCCTGGGAGTTTTAGTCCAAGAATATCTGGGGACCCAAAGTCGGGAAGTGTTGTGTTAAGATGCAACTCTGCTCCCTTCCACAGCTTTTGAAAACATGATATTGGATGTCTTGAAAACAACGAACAGCTTCTTAAAATGTGTTTACAGAGGAAGGGATTATTCCTCCTATGTCCATGAGGAGAACTTTTCATAGTTGGTCTGCTCCCTGAGTTAGTGGTTCACGTTCTCCTTATAACTGAAGGTTTCAACCACCCATCAATTCTTGCAATAGAAGCTGACTTCTGAGGCTGTTCAGCATTAGTTAAATGCCACCACAAAAATACTCAACACATATACATCTATCAAAGGCAGGTTGTCGCTACATGATGACAACATGGGATGCAAACTCCACTGTCACACAACAGTTAGAATAAAATGAATGCATCTCAAATGGACCATTTCACTGATGAAGAATGTCTGAAAAGAAAGAAAATAGGGATTGAGGAAGATTAAGTACACTGAGGTTTTTGTGCTTTCAGTGTGAATGTAAAGCACAAACATACAAAGTTGGGACATCACCATTTAACCTTAATGTCTAATGTCGCCAATCGCTGGAACACCAGGAGGGGCAATTAGCCATGAAAAAAAAGAGAATGTGCCCAATGGGAGTGGCCGTGGAAAGGGAGAAAAAGCAGGGAATGGAGCATCAACCAAGAGGTTGAGCAGAAAAGTCGTGGTCTTAATTGATCAGATGTGGGTGGGTGGGAAGAAAGGAAGGAGAAACGAAGAGGCACCCAGTGGAAGTATCCTGAAGACAAACAGGTTGCAATAAATAAATAAATAAATAAATAAATAAATAAATAAATAAAGAAAGAAAGAAAGAAAGAAAGAAAGAAAGAAAGAAAGAAAGAAAGAAAGAAAGAAAGAGCAACCTATAGTTAGTAAAAAAGAAAGAAAGAAACAAACCTTAGAAAGAGCTGAGTTGTCCTGTGTTAAGCAGGTAGTTGGTTCAACAGAAGCATGAAGCAGAATAATGGGAAAGGTATACTCTATGCTTCTCATGACCACTCAAGGAACAATGTCATCTGTCAAGGGTTGAGGTGGGCATCCTGGGTTAAGCAGGTAGTTGGTTCAACAGACGCATGAAACAGAATAATGGGAAAGGTATATGCTTCTCATGACCACTCAAGGAATAATGTCATCTGTCAAGGGTTGAGGTGGGCAAACTAGTGCCCCCAGAGGTTCTGGAGTGCACCTTTCCGTAATCGTATCCATTACCCATAGTGACTGAGGTTGTGGAAGTTGCAGTCCAACCTACTGTTCTGTCCAACACAATGTCAGCTAAAATGTATTCTCTCTCTCTCTCTCTCTGATGAACACAAACGCTATCATTCCAAAAATACGTTTGGAAGCACCCGCTTTGAGCTTGAAATTCCATACAAATCCAGCTTAAGAAACGCGGACTAACAAGAAGACTATTTGCTTCCAAAAAACAACGCAGAAGGGGAGAGCGAAGCCATTCCAGCACCCAGAAATAGGCTTTAGAAGGATATTATAGGCAAGGCTATCCCATGTCGTATCCGTTTTAGGGACTCAGCGGAACATTCAAGGCAAAAACAGACGAGAGGGCAGCTTTGCAATGAGACCTGAAGCTGCCTTGAACAGTGAAGGACATCTGTTTATCCCCCAACACTTTTGCACAGCTTGGTAAGGTTGCCAATTAGCTTCCTTTCTTCGGTGACTGTTCTTCAAGAGATGAAGACCTAGTTTTGTTTGCATATAGATTGTTCAAAGAAACCAGCTATGGTTAAGCTGTCATCTCCTCTGCTTCTCTCCTAATACTCTTGGCCTGTTGAGAGAGCGAGCGAGAGAGCGAGGAAGGATACTGGGGGAGAGGAGCCATAAAAAAAGGTATTACAAGAATTGGAGAGGGGGGGCGCAGTGTGGCCCGTCGGCTTCTGCCACCTTGATGGGTCTCATCATTCTTGAATATCTACTTGGCTAGGGATTTCTCAGACATGACTTACAGGAACTTCCCTAGATTGTCCACCTCCCCCTGAAAATATTTGTCTGAATATGTAGAAACAACAAAACGATCTGAATCATTTAAAGCTGCTAAAGATAAGGAACATTTTATCCTTGCTAAGTGAATAATTTATGGCCCAAGCCATTGTCATCATCATCATAATAGCAATAAAATAAGTTCCTCTAAAGCCCTGTAGTACAGTGAGAAAAATATATGTATATACACACAGAACAGGGAAAAAAACAATTGCACATCAGGCTCATAAATAAATAAAAAAGCTACAGGGGGTGGGAGAGCAGTTAGCACGGAAGGGACTGAAAAGTTAGCAGCTTCTCCCTGCTATCAGAGGATTTATGATTCCAGCCAAGCCAAGCTCAAACACACACGCTCGCACACAGACAAACACACTCAATGACACAACATTTCAGCACTACGTTCCCTCTGGTGCTGGAAGGTAAACTAGTAGGCCTGCAATGACAGCCCAATGTGAAATTCCTCAGCCCTCTCTGCCCAAACCAGGCCGTTCTGGGTAAGATTCTTGGGTGCCCATGTTGACTCCATAACTCCAGGGGCCGCAGCCTCACTCCATCGTGAAGCCAAGTCTGAGCCTTGCGTGGAGGACGCAAAATAGCACTGAGGTCGCCCCCAAACGGTCCTTGTCATTGATCTGCTGGTGACCACTGGGGCACAAAAGTGGGGGGGGGGTACGGCCGTGCTGCAGTGTATCGCTGCCCACTAAACACAGACAGGCCATCATCTTGAGCTATAGTTTGGGTGACCAAAAATAAAATTAAATAAAATGCAGCACTCTGTAGCTCAGTGATTCCCAACCTTGGGTCCCTAGAGGTTTTTGGGACTACAACTCCCAGAAGCGTGTGCTGCTCAGGGTTTCTGGGAGTTGTAGTCCAAGAACCCCAGGGGACCCAAATTCTACAATATTTGTACCACGCAAGGTGGTGAGAAACGGCAGAGGAAGGCGAGGATCGAGACGGGGTTCAAATGAATCCCCCCCAAAAGTGACAAATTACCTCGGGGTCGGTTCCTCCGTTTCCGCCTCCCGACCGATGAACTCCGCAGAGCGGGCTGGAGCTGGCCGATCTCGATGGGCGTATTGGTCCGGAAGCTCTCCTTAAACTTCTGCATCAGGGACTCCACCGTTTCTTGGGTCACCTCAGCCGCTGTAAAGAAGGGGAAGACCACGAGAACATGAGTCACTCCTCTCTGAAGCCGCCCAAAAGAGGCAGCTTTGAATGGTCTGGAGCGGAAAATAACCAATAAACGAGAAGAAAGAAGAAAAAAAACACCTTCTTTTAGACAAGCACAGGGTCTCCTTGCTGTGGACCACACGCTCCGTTTGTCGCACCGACAAAAAGTCATGGGCCTTGACAGTTTATCCAACTACGTGCCGTTACAGATGTTGCACACCCCTGGGAGAGGCAGGCACGGCGGCTCAGGAGAAGCCAGGATGACCAACCACCTCTGCTGTAAGCGCGTCTACTGGCACAGAACACGCAGAACAGGGCAGGGCCCGCGTTGTCTGTCTCAAAAAATGCCCAGCTATTCACCATTAACCACAGCAATGCCCCTATTTCATTTCCGCCTCCACCCCTTGCAATAACTCACTCCTATTTTGACTCCCTACACTCACAATGGAAAAATACCTGCAACAGGTGGAAGGTTTTCTCATGGGGGACCCCCCCCCTGCCAAAATCCTTGGGTGTTGGGGTCTGGGGTTCCAAACCAAAGACACCTTGAAACGGGTAGACTGGAAGAGATGCGGTCTTCTCAAACCATGGCTCTAACAGAACTGGCTTCATGTTCAGCAAACATCCCTTCTGTTCACACCATGCCCTCGTTTCAATAGCATTCCTTTCTTTTGGAAAGCATCTGGCGTTCTAGCCCCAGGTCCTCCCGCTCAAAGTGCTCCTGCTAGGCCTCACCCCCTTCCTCCATAACTGTTGCCCATAGTGGGGGGGCAAAGCTGTATTGCCGAGTGGACTAGCTCAACTCCTTTAAGGTAGCTGCTTCGGGGGCGGGGGGGGCGGAAGAGAGATTAAAAACCCAAGACGTTAACCCTGCTGGCCCTGTCTTGCTCTACAGACATATTATATAAGAATTGGACTCGGAGGTATTTGGGTGCCTGGGGTGCTCAGCATCTGGAAAGCCTGCAGCCTAGCGATCGCAATTCTCGTTCCGGCATGAAGCAGAGTCTGTTTTAACAGGAAAACATCAGGGTGGCTGCGTGGAGCAGGCGATGTGTAAACCAAAGCAAGGATTCCTGCTGAAAGGCAAAGAGAGAAAGGAGGCTTCTCTTTCGAGACACCGGGAGGTGTGATGCTGTTTAAAGCTTTGAGTCTTTTTTTTCCCCTCCTGTTGACAGGAGAGCTGGAAAAGATGACGCCCCCCCAGCTATGAGAAGGAGAGGACTAGAACTTAAATCTGGAAGGCAGAAAATAGTAAAAAGAGGAATTTGGACTTTTGATGCGGCAATCTGTATAGAATGGATGTTAGTATGTCATTGTTTCTCCTCTTCCCCTTTATCCCTTTATCTTCTACCCTTTGTAAATAAATAAATAAATAAAAGAATGAGAGGACGAAACCTCCCAGCTTTCTGGAAGAGCGGCTGGCATTGTTGAGCAAGGAAAGGGGGAGCAAGGAGGGAGAAGCTTGGAGATGGGGCAGGGGAACCCAGGCAGTGGGGGAGAACGAAAGGGGGGAAAGCCGAAACAGCACCCCATTTAGGGGGCCTTTCATGGCGATGCCAGTCCAGCTCTGTAATTTCCCACTCCAGCCATGGATGCCAGGAGCTCAAAGAGGTCTCCTCATAGCGTCGGGTGACTGGACAGGGCTGCTGATTTGCTGTGCCTTTAAAGGGTACCGCTGGTGCCTCAGGTGATGTTCCTGGATGTCCGCTTTTTAAAGACCTGGGATGCATCCAAAGCTTATCAGCATCAGCAGACCGAACGACGGGGAAGAAAGCGGGTGGCGATATGGAGCGGGCAGTTAAAAAATGGAATCCAAGAAGAAGGTGCAATTGCCAGCAGTGGTCAGACACCCACCCTTCCTTTTTCATTGACTAGACACTCTTGTTTTCATTTGTTTATACAGTGGACCCTCGACTTACAGACGGCTCGACTTACAGACTTTTCGAGTTACAGACTTCTCTGGCTGCAAAATTTAGATTCGACTTACAGACCAGAAAAAAACAAAAATGGAATAAAAATAGAATCAAAACCACTGGTTATGGGATTAATCAGTTTTCAGTGCATTGTAGGTCAATGGAGATTCAACTTACAGACTTTTCGACTTGCAGCCACCATTCCAATACGGATTAATTCCTTAAGTAGAGGGTCCACTGTAATTCACTTTTCCTCCAAGGAGGACAAGGTGGCAAACTGGATTCTCACTCCATGCCTTTAACCCCCACGACCACCTGACGAAGGAGGTCACCCCACAAGAAAGACAAGGATTTAGTCAGCAAACGTCCAAGCACTTGGGGCTCAGCCATCTCACTTATAGTCCAACACCAACATCTATCCTTCTTCTAACATTTTAACAACAGAAGCATCTTGTTGGTCCAAAGTGGGGGAGACGGAAGACATTCTGAGGAAGAACCCTATCGGTCAATGGTAGGGAATATATTTGGCGTGCAAATATTTGCAGCTTTCGGTCTGCGGTTGAAAAAGCCCTTCAGCCTGAAAACCTTCGGAGATATTACCGTGTGTGTGTGTGTGTGTGTGTGTGTGTGTGTGTGTGTGTGTGTGCGCGTGCGTGTGTGTGTGTGTGTGTGAGAGAGAGAGAGAGAGAGAAAGAGAGAGAGAGAGATGGAATTAACAAAATAACAGCACCTTTGTTGTGATGAATTAGTAAATGAGAAACAATGATTATACATGGATTAAAAACCAGGTTTAACTGAGAGGAGTGGGAATTGATTTCAGAGTCAAAGAACTGAAGCCAGTGTAGACTATTTTCAATGGACTGAGAAAGTCAATTAATGTCCTCGGCAGCCCCGAGCCTTTTTGAAATCCCTCTTCCAAAGGGAAGGGCAGTTTCTCTCCTGTCTGAGGAAGCCATTTCAAAGACTCCGGGCAACTGGAGCAAAGGCCCGTTTCTCCGCCGCTCATGTTCTGACCTCGCACAAGGACACGATGCAGAGCTTCCTCACTGGACATGGTACACAGTCTTCCTGATTTCAGCCAGAAATCCTTTTACTTACAAGCACCAGCAGCTTGAATGAAAGCCAAAAAAGCTCACAGCTGCTGCGGAACCGGTTGAATATATTATCGCTTTCCGATATTCTCCCAGAGGCAAACGTGAAAACGACACCGGCTTGCAGCTTCGGAGTCATCTTGGGGCCCACAGAAATGGCCTGCAGTCCGTCTCAAAGGTGACAGATACACGGAGAAAGTTTCCAAGGGCCCCAAATGGGAGATGACGCACCAATCAACAGATAATCAAAATATTCCTGGATAGTGATCCTGCCCTCCGAAGAGATTTGAAACAATTAAGATGCAAAGGGAACAGATGTCCGTATTGCTGCTCGCGGGTTTCTCAAGGTTTCATCAAACCTCAGCAAAAAGTTCTGTGCTCCAAGCATAGTCCTTGAAGGCCTATAAGCCAGAGCTGCAGAATCTTCTGCTCTCCAGCTGTTTCACCAGCCAGAAGAACTTGTCAGCATATAATTAACGGCAAGCAACTGTGTGGGGTATAGTCCCCAAATGCCTGGAGGACTAAAGATTCTCCTCATTTTGACCTCGATCTTCTAAACTAGGAGGACCTAAATATGGGCTTGGTGCCATCCCCTGGTCCAGGAAGAGCCTAATACTTTGCAAGCACCCCAGTGGTCAAGTTAATACAGGGTTCCCCCAAATTCGGGTCCCAGATGTTCTTGGAGTACAAATCCCAGAAATCCTAGCCAGCACAGTCCTAGTGGTCAAGTTAATACAGGGGTCCCCCAACTTTGGGCCCCAGATGTTCTTGGAGTGCAACTCCCAGAAATCCTGGCCAGCACAGGTTGTGGTGGAGATCCAAGGCTGGGAACCACTGTAGGTAGTAGGAACATAGGAAAGGTGCCCTAAATTAGGTCCATGAGCCCCAGGATGGTTGAGTCTAACTGGCAATGATGGCTTCCAAAATTTCAGGCAAAACACCTTGAAAGACATGAGAGATTAGATCTGATGGCCACTAAACAGATGTCGTGCCCATAAAAGTTACTCTACCACCAGGCCCCATCTACTGGTCCACAATGCTCCTCCTGTTCCAGACACTGTCCTCACGGGCTGCTAAGCCTGCTCGGCTGCTTTGGCAGGTGGGTGTAGAACCGCAATCCGTGAATGGAAACAAGAAATCAGAGAGACCCTCTTTCCTTCCAACGTAGCTCTGAGATACCTTACGCTTGTCTTGCTGGAGAAAAGAACAGGCAACTTTCTAAGGCAGCATGGTAATATTGTGAGATGGGCGTAAGGCCGCAAAGCAATAACAAAAATAACCCAACTTGATTGTGTATCGTAGCAACCTGCTAGATACTGATAGCTCTCAGAAGCAATTTCGGTCTCTTGTCGCTTCTTAGAGAAACCAATTGGACTGGATTATAAACAAGGCAGGATAATGTTCTCTCTCCAGGGACCTTCTCCCCTTTCCTTTTCCAGCTCTCAGGCAATCCTGTGTACTGGTCTGGAACAAGCACACGCAGTTTGGCAATGCCAGGGAAGGGGACTGGGTTGGGGGGGGCAGATCTGCATAGGCAAATGATATACTAGGGACAGCCTTTAAGAGTCCACCACTCCCCCTCCAAGCTCTGTGCTGCCCCATGGAAGGCCACAGCCATGCTTTGCCACAGATCCTGTTACAGCAAAACAAACACACTATTCCTCCTTCATGCATTCGTGAGATGCTTTCCCTTCCCCAGATGCGTATCCCAACTCTGTTCTAGGCACTGTGCCAGCAACCACCCTTATCTGGCGTGAGACAGAAGAAAATTTGTGATAAGGTGTTCTTGGTCCCCTCCTTCCCCCTCAAGCATTTCACCACAAGCGGGAAAGGTGGGTGGGGGGAGTCTCCGGCTTTAAATTAAGCTTCAAACAGGCCATGCTAATGCAAGACACTTTTAGCACCACGACCACCACCTTTTTGGTGTAGGAGGAGCTGTGCTGCCTGCACGCGCTCACACAAGCCAAAG